CTCTCTCTCTCTCTCTCTCTCTCTCTCTCTCTCTCTCTCTGGTACCCCGTTCCGTTTGCGGGAACCTGTGTGTGCCTGTGTGCGCGTTTTCGTGCGATACGCTGTGTTATCGTTTGCATTGCAAATGGCAACCCACCCCGCCCACATTCAAACACACCGGGATCGGAGGAGCGTGCACGTTTTATGGTGAAATCGGACGCGTGTGCGAGGTCTCTCTCTCTCTCTCTTTCTCGCCCGATATATCGAGTCCTACGCGGATGAGTCACGGGAATCGGAACAACCCTAACGATGCCCTCTTAAGGGGGTAGATCTGTCGAATTTCGACACGTTTCACCGCGTTCCCGAATATATTCTTTCCCAGATCGCGAGGGGGGAGGGATAGGAGTAAGTGTAAATTGCCAAGAGTAGAGAAGTAGTCGAGAAGATTTTCAAAATTGTTGCGAGGAGATTTTTTTCACCTTCTTTTCCCCGACGATTGCATTCGTCGCATTAATCTTTCGCTACTTTTTTTTTTTTCAGCAATCCGAGCTGGAAGGAGACGAAAAAGCAAATATTTTCCGCGCTGAAACTCCGACATCCAGCTCCCCGATTCCTCCTCTCCCTCGATTCGTATTTTAATTCGTCGCGCATGTTTTCGCGTACCGCCCCCCGCTTCCTTTCCACGGCTCTCGTCTCGAGCAGGAGTTATTTTTTCCTTTTTCCTCTTCTTTATCCCGCGCCAGGTTTACTTAAGATATTAAAGTACTCACCCTTCTCTCAGCCTTCTTTCCCTTTCATCCTCCTCTCTTTTTCTCTTTCGTTTCTCTCCGGAGGGAGTTCGGAGATTCCTCTCCTCCGTCCTTCTCTTCGAGGAGAGCCCTCGAGGGAGTTTGGAGGCACGGCCACGAGGCTCCGCTTAATTTGTAAGCGGATTTTTGCACTAATCAACGGATTTAAGAAGAACAAGCGGAAGAAAGAAGGAGGAGGAGGAGGAGGAGGAGGAGGAGAGACGGAAGAAGAAGGAGAATGCCTGCGAGACCAAAGACGGGGGACACAAGAGAGAGTCATTTGAATTTATTTTAATTATACTAACGAACAGGCCGTGGAACGAGGGCCTAACGAATTATTTGCTCGAATATGATTGCGCGGAATTTCTAACGAAGGATCGACCGATCTCTGCCCGCATCTTCATCATCATCGAAGGGGAGGGTGGCGAGCATCCTATTTTCCTCGAACGAAGGACCAACCTTCTCTTGAACTCGATTTTCCTTCCCGTTGATAAGACGAAGGGCGAAAGAAAGAAAATTTTTGTTTTCGAATTTTGCTCGAATCGAAAAACCGTGCGAAACGAAGATCCCCTGATCGCTGCCTCCTGCCCTCCCTCCCCCGAGCTTGTTAATAAATCATCTCCGTTGCGACGGAGACGTTGAAGGAAAAAAACGCGGATAATGGATCCGGCCGATTATTCACGGATCTCTCTTCGATCGATCGTGAACGATATTGCAAGTGACGAGCGTGACGACGAGAGCCAACTCTCTTCTTCGCCCTCGTTCTTCGCATCACAGGTCGAGGAGAAAGAGAGAGAGAGAGAGTTCGCTCGCCAAGTTTGACACCAAAGATCGCGAGGAGAACGAGTTTCCTTTTTTCTCTCTCTCGCGATAATATTCTCCCACCGATGGAATGATTTTTCGTTTCCAAATTGGATTTCTCCAACTTGCTCCAAGGCGTAAGAGATTTTTATCCCAACCGTGGATACGTGATTCCACGCGTATCGTTTCGTTCACCCGAGGATTGAGAAGTCGCGTTAGACAAGTATCTCTGGAATTCCCTCCACTTTTCGAATTTAAAAGATACAATAAAAACGTGTTAAAATCTGGACGATCGTATTTCTCTGCGGTGCGCTCTCGTTAAGGCGTTGGAGAAAAAGAAGGAGAGAAAGAGGAGGACACGGTAAAAGGGGGATGAACGCCCTTTCGAAAGACGTAAAGGGCTACAAGGGGGAGGGGGGAGAGAGGAAAAGAAAGCGTGGTTTCCTTAATGAGAAGTACAGAGTAAAGCTTTCTTCTTTGCGCGTCCTTTTGCCTGCAAGAGGTTCTTCGCCCTCCTCCCCTCCTTGGGGAGCTTCCTGTGGCGTGCCGGTCGCCGCGAACAGTCGAATCGGATTCGCGGCTTCGGGGGGACACCCCCTGCCTCCCCCCTGCTCCGTGTAGACTTTTTTCTCGGCCGGCAAGCAGGCAGGCAGGCAAGCAGGCAGGCAGGCCGGCCGGCCCCGCTGAAATGCTTCTTGTGTAAGTAAAAATCTAAAGTGACTACCGAGATCTAAGTTTTAATTAGTTTATCTTGGCCGCGTGGCCATTGAATATTTATGAGCTATCGCGGCCGCCGTTGCGGCGCGAGAGAGCAATCAACTGGGAGAGCAGAGGCGGAGGAACAGAGAGAGAGAGAGGGAGAGAGAGAGAGAGAGAGAAAGATCGAGGAGGTAGGGATCCTCCGGTCGTGGCCGGGGATGCTGGCAGCAAAAGGGGACGAAGAATGAGATTCCACCGGCCATGGAAAGGAACCGCCTGTGGTTACTGTCATCCCATGGGATTTCGCTTTCGATGTTTCCAACCGGCGGATACTATCCTCCTGGATATAATTGCACGCCCCAACTATACCTCGTTGCCTTGGCAAAAAAAATATCTCCTCTCCGGATGGGAGGATGGGATCGCCTCCCCTCCCTTCTCCTCCCTAGTCGATTGCAATTACTATTAAGGATGGAATTAACGTGATGTATCTGTCGATCGTGAAGCACAAATGATTATTGTGATTATTATTTGTCACGATATAACGTTGTAGTTGGGGGGAGGGGGGAATAGATTCGAAGGGAGAAACGTAGGAGAAAGGTTTAGAGATTCCTACCTAGCCTCGCTAAATCCACGGGACGGAGGAGAAAGAAAGGAGGAAGAATCTATAAGTCCATAAATCTGTGAAGCCGGTCGACACGGAGAGAAAAAGAGAGATCAGGAGGAAAGCGTTTCGAGGGGGGTGGGAAGAAAAATTTATGGCTGGCACCGTAAAAAAACAGAAGCAGAACGGCGAGGAATTTTTATTTCCACTGGATTCGTATAATATGGTCCGATATGCTCGGATCTATCCCCGTCGAGAAATGAAAAATATATATGTAAGAGCGAAGAGTCGAAAATTACGCGAGATCGAGATACGATTAATCAAGCGTCGTAGTTGTTCATTCGCGATCTCCCTGAACGAACAATCGGGGGACGATATCAGGGTGTTCTATAAAGAAAAAAAAAAAAAAATATGATGTTTATTATCGCGTTAACGAGACAAAAATTGGTTGGCAAATTATTTATCAATGTCCGTTTTGGCGCAAAAAAACGGAGGCTTTTCGAGTCGAAGACGTTAAATCGAGCGTAAAAAGTTGACGTTCCATGCGGTTGGATAGAATTGTTGGCGATAAAAAAGTTGGTTGAAATAAGTTTTCCACCGAGCCCATTTACGAACGTCATCGCGCTTTCGCGAATATTCGAGGCACGTTTATCTACACGGCAGCGCCACACGTGCTTAACGCGACGCGCTGGGTTACAGATTGTCGATTCATATTTACATTTTAATAACTCTTCTCTTCTACCTTGTCACTCTCGTTCTCTCTCGACAACGACACGGCAACCGCGATGCACATTCACGCGGACGCCACGAGCTTTTCCTTCCTATTTCATCCTCTCTTTCTTCCGTCGAATTATAAATACACGCGTGTGCGCGTTATACGTGTATTAACGCGCTTGTCGCCCTATTAAAAGAGAGGAGGGAAAAAGGAAAAAAGAAAAAAAAAAGAAAAAAAGAAAAAACAATAGATAAAAAATAAAAGAAACAAAAGAGGAAGGGAGAATCTTCCGTTTTAAAAACCTATGTCCCGTGTCAATATCGGAATCGTTAGTGGTGACTC